TATGTGCTTTTGTGCATATCCTGACTTGTCCAATTATTAATTATATCACCTTAGACAAATGACATAGCCCTTCTATGTCTCAAATTCCTGATAACAATAGTGTCATCGCACAGTTTTTTTGTGAAGAAGAAATAAGTTAATATATGTGATGTACTTAGATCGGTCCCTGACATGTGCTTAGTAATTATTTAGCTATTATTATTATTATTATTACTATCTCTAAAATTATCAGTGCAAACAATTGTTACTAAAACCCAGGGAGGTGGTTATTACCTCCATTTTATAGAGGAGGAAATGGAGGCTCAGAGAGGTTGAGAAAATCGCTGAAAGTCACACATACGTAGTGCCGGTGCTCACATAAAATTCTTGTCTTAGATGGTGCCTGGGTGGCTCAGTCAGTTGAGCATCTGACTCTTGATTTTGACTCATGTCATGATCTCAAGGTCCTGGGATCAAGCCCTGGGTGGGGTCCCATGCTCATCAGGGAGTCTGCTTGAGGATTTTTCTCCCTCTCCCGCTTCCCCACTCGCATGTGCACTCTCCCTTTCTCTCTCTCAAATAAATAAATTTTTTTAAAAAAGACTCTTGTCTTAAAGTCCAGTCTTCCCATCACCCACACCCACCTCAGCAAGACGATAAACAAATGTCCCTGATTCAGCAAAGATGCCTTCTTTACATTTGTAACTTCAAAGTGACATAAAATGGTATGCAAAATCCTTCGATCAGAAAATAGCACCTTCAGAGAGGACTACTCTAAAAAGAACATCGTTACTTGGTAGGCACTTATTTGAGATAGAACAAAGTCCTTTAATGTCCTAAATGTCTTTCTAAGTCGAGTAGCTTAGGAAGCCAGGCAGGGGGAAAGAAGGAGCACAAGATGAGATGTCTGAAACTTGGGGTTGCGTCCTCCCTTTGCTCACTGCTGTGAGATCATAGACAAGATAACCTAACTTTCTTCTTCAAGTCATGATTGTGAGGATTAAATAAGATAGTGCTTGTTACTGTGATGCGAACTCTAGAGCTTCGGAAAAATAATAAGCTATGGTTTTTATCATCATAACCCAACTGCCAGCCTTTTCTGAAATGACCCCTTTAATGGATGAATGAACTTGACCGAAATTCCTTAGCATTTTTCACCATTTCCATTTCTAGAAACCATGAGCTAAAGAACACAGAGATGTTCACATGTAAACACCTTTCCTTCTTTCTTCCTTTGGAACTGCAAAGAGTATTCAAATATTACATCTTTCATCTTTTAAACCTCCTTATAAAAACCAGATGAGGAATACTTTTGTTCTGGGGGAAGCAAGACTCACCATTTTCATTCGACTGCATGGCTGTTAACAAGTATGAACGTTTTGCTTCCTAGATACTGAAACAACTGGAAGAGAATATGGCTCGTGAAAGTCCAACCTTTCTTACCTAAATACCAGAACATGAACTGTCCCACTAGGAGGAGAAGCGAAGAAGAAGGGAATGATTAAGTGAGTAAATGGCATGTCTACACCTACCAGTCTGGATCTACTCTCGGCAGCAACCCGCCTACCCCCACGGCACACGTGAATTCTATCACCTTTCTTGACTATTTTACTATTCTTGTTTAACCTTTCACAACACTATAACTCTCCAGATATCTAATTAATTTAACTCTTTTTTGGAAAAGATTTTATATATTTATTTGAGGGAGAGGGGGAGAGCAGCAGAGGAAGAGGGAGAAGCAGACTCCCCGCCGAGCAGGGAGCCCAACACAGGGTTCGATCCCAGGACCCCGGGATCATGACCTGAGCCGAAGGCAGACGCTTAACCGACTGAGCCACTCAGGCGCCCCTAATTAATTTAACTCTTATATTAATTCCCCAGATAACTGTAAATAAGTTCTTTTCCCAAAAAACCTAATGGTGAGGTCTCCTGCCCCCATCCTGTCCTGTTTCCAGAAAGCCTCTAATCAAACTATTAACTCCTCAAGGAGTTCAGACAGTCAAACTCTTAAGAAAACAAAAACAAAACCCAAATCTTTTCTGTAAAAAGATGTCCAAATAGGAACATTTTGAGTGGGGACCACTTCCTACACACAGACACACACACACATACACAGACACAGACACACAGACACACACACACAGACACACACACACACAGACACACAGACACAGACACACAGACACACACACACAGACACACACACACACAGAGACACACACACACACAGACACATACACACAGACACATAGACACACACAGACACACACACACACAGACACACACAGACACACACACAGACACACACACAGACACACACACACACACACCACCAAAAAAAAATTTGGTTTGCAACCTGGTCATCCATGGTGAGACCCACCAATAGACAAGATGCGCTCACTTTACACAGATTCAATCAGTTCACTGGCTCTTCACACTCATGGACACACTGCCAAAAAATCAGCAAAGACTGATGAAAACAGAAAGAAAAAAAGTGAGATTCAGAGAAAACAGAGACAATGCAGAGAGCAAAAAAGTCTTAAAAACAAAAACAAAGAAATTAAACATTTGATTAATATCCTCAAAGAGAAAAAAATTATAAAATGTGTCCATAAAACAAGAAGAAACAGTAAAGCAAAATAGTGAACAGAGATCAAGAAGGTGCTCTTACCTATTAAAAAAAAAACGGATGAAATTTTAAAATATCAATAAAAGGGCTAGGAAATAAAGTCAGAAATCTTTCAGTAAGCAGAACAAAAAATCAAAAAATCGAGGGACAACAAAAGGAAATAGATAAGAAATTAGAGGCTCCATCTAAAAGATGTAACATCTAAGTTACAGGAGAGCCAGTATTATAGAATACTGAGGAAGAAACTGATAAAAAATCATAATAAATAAATAATTTTTTTAAGAATTGAAATACATAAATCTTCAGACTAAAAGAGTTTGCAAAGTATCCAGCACATGATAAAAAAAAAAGGACCCACACTGAGGCATATCACTGTAAAATTTCAAAGTGTGGCGATAATCCTAAAGTTAATTGAGGGGGGGAAATAGGTCACATACAAAGCTCTGAGAATGGAAGTGGTATCAGACTTTTTAATATGAGAAATGACAAAATAGGATAATGCCTTAAAATTGAGTTCTAATAATAAATTTTATCCCAGAATTCTATATCATCAAAACTATTAATCAAGATACATTTTCATTCATAAAAAGATTCAAAACATTTACCTTCTATGCATCTTTTCCCAAAAAGCTACTGGAGGATGTACTCCCACAAAAATGAGGAAGACTGGGATTTGAGAAACAAAGCATCTAACAGGACAACAGTGAACAGAAATCTTATTACAGTAGCTACTCAAGAGACTCAGAGAATAACTTCTCCAGATTGTTGCACAGGGGCACCAGGAGGAAAGTCTGAGGTGGGGGCATAGTAATGACAGGTTTGAATATACAGAAAAGATACTACATGTTTGACAAAGATACTGGAGAGTTCAACAGAAAATAGCAATAGGTACTAGACAAAAATAAAAGACAGGAAACTATCAATTCCAGGAAAAACAAAGAGCTATACAGAAAAGGAGACATGGTCATATTTCCCTGTTTGGCTTAGCAGTGAAAAGTATCTGTTTAAATAATAATACTATAAACCTTGACCACTGATTCAACAAAATTCTGGTCAATAACTTTATTAAGGGGATGGAGGGAAATGAATTATGTGGAAAGTGAGAGACCTATCATATTTCCCTTTAAGCCAATAAGTGAAAAAAATAAATAAATAGCAATTGCATATTTAGGAATACAAGAGTAAATAGTAGGAAAACAGCCAAAAGTAGTGATGTATAAAACTATTTGAATATAAAATATAAATATAAAATATATACCTTTAGGAAGAGGGACTGAAGAATGGGAAAGGCAAGGTTACTTTTCCTTTATAAGCCTAGCTGTATTTTTGGCTTTCAAAACTATGCATATATACTACATTAATTTAAAAATATATTTAGTAACTTTATAATTTTAAAATTAGAATTAAAAATCTCTCTGACTGCAAGATGCAATCAGCATAAAGGAATACTGGAGACTATAAGAATAAAGCTCAAATAAGTAAGTGGTCTCAAGCCAAATGATCACAAAACACCCTAGTCATTTTAATCCTACACACTCTTGTGGAAGTATGCTTTCTTCTCACTTTGTAATTATATCACTTCAAAAAATCAGAAGTCCTATCACCATTGCTTTGGTGTTGCAAAAAACATCTGATGGATCTTCTCATTTCTCTGATTTATCACAGGAACAAATGAAAAGGACTTCCTTTACCAATCTTTTCATAACTGATCAAATCCTTAATTTCTACACCATGCTTTCACTCTTTGGAATATACCTTAAATGCTTTGGTCTAATCAAACGAATGCCCACTGTTTTTTATACTAATATTTATCTACTTGATGATAAACACACAAACAAAGCGTAAGATTTCTTCTTCCAATAAAGACAATTCTTCTGAATGACAGATTTCACTTTAAGCTTCTTAAAAATGCATATCTATATACTAAAAGAATGTATTCTCCAGTTATAAATCTAACACTTTTGCTAAAATGATTCCAAACCCTCTCACCATTACCTTTGAATTTGGCTTTTAGGGATAACTGGGTGATGGTCATTAAGGAGGGCACTTGATATAACGGGTGTTATATGCAACTGATGAATCACTAAATTCTACCCCTGAAACTAATAATACAGTATATGTTAACTAAATTGAATTTAAATAAAGAATTAAGAAACAAAAGACAAGCAACACACCCAATTCCATTAGTTTTAAGTCTTCCTGAACCAGATATGCTTGGGCATTCATTTAAGGAAGTTAATACTAGTCAAGCATGCACTTCACTTATGGATAATAATCACTACTTAGTATATACATAACCAAACCATGTATTGTTGTTTGGCTTTAAAAATACACAAATTGGCTTAATAAAAATGAATTCAAACACGGCATTTAGGAAAAGCGATTTCTTTACCTCTGTTGGTTTGTAGCAGTCTACAAGAGCTTCCTAGAATGAAATACACAGAAGGTAAGTTTGATTATTTGAAAATTCAGTATCAATTAAAAATCATTTTATCTTCATGGTGTTATTCTACACATGGTAAATCCAGATTTCATATCAACAGTCTAGAATCGCACTTTATTTCAGCATCCATTGGGTCATCTTGAAGATATCAAAAGTTGTACCTTCCTAGGCACGAATTCAGAACACACGTGCGCCCTCCCTTTGGCCTACAAACTGGTTAATAATAAAATGCATATGCTTAAGTTGAGACAGCCTGTGGGAAATGGTAATAATCACCCCTGACATGGAAAGCCAGGGGCCTGGCTGCAATCCAACCACAAACCACCTTGTCACACTTCTGCAGGCCTCAGTGTCCCCACCTGGAAACCAAAGTGGATGGCCTAAATAGCTAAAGCCTCTTTGAAGTTCTCAATTTTAAAAAACCTTTTATATGTCATTCCGTTTTCTACAGATCTGGTGCCTGCTTTATTGTTTTTTAACTTTTGTAACTAGATGCTATCATGTCCCGACTAAATTTACGAACAAGAAATAATCATTAAGCTGAGACTGTTCACCACATGAGGGACACAAGTAATTATTAACACACTGAACACATTAATACATTAAAATGTGCCTTTTAATTGCCCTTAGAGATCACTTGCCATTGGTGGTGACCGACAGCCATTAACAGTAATTATCAGTGAACATTAAGAACAATGACAGGTCAGAAGCTAATTGGTTTTAGAAACTCCCGAATGCAAATTTTAAAATGATAGATTTGACCTCCTGTGAGAAAGGAAATAAATGTCGTATTGCTTTGGACTGAGGAAAAAGGAGACAGCCCAACATCCACTGTTGTACTAGAAGCCTACCAGGTGAGCATACTCTAATAATATGTCTTTTAGTAGACTGTAAACGATCTTCTCTAGAAACGGATTCCATGGGTGATAATAATCCACAACCGTGAGACCAGAGTCCTGGGCTTGGGTACTCTGGGTCTGGCTCAGCATCTCTTCCTCTCACATAACTGTGGGGCATCGCTTCCTTTCCTGGCAAATGGACTTCTGGAAGCAGAACTGGCTCTTCCTCCAAGAAAATGTAGCTACGGAAGCTCATACCCGGTAGGTGGTTTGAGAACTGACCCGGCAGATTCAAGACCTGCTTCACCATCAGAGACACAGTACAGGGGGACAGATACCTAGCACCCCACTGCTTTCCTCTCAGCAAACTGCCACTGCTCGAGTCCTGGTGCCAACACCACCCTAGGGCAGGATCAGTGTATGCCAGGTTCTGGAGACCCAAGCCAATTCAAGCATCCAAGACGGGCAAGGTCTAGATTTTGAAAGCTGCTTACCCGTAATTTTAAAGCTCTCTCTTCTTCACTGTCTGCATCAAGAAGATCATCAATGTCAATTTCCACTTCTGGCATTTCTTCTTCCTGGGGGGAGCAAACAGAAAGGCATTCTATTCAGTGAGAAACTACACTGCACCAAACCAATTTAGTTAACTTAAATAAATAACTAGATCATTAACGAAGGGGGGGGTCAGCAATTGGGGGGGGAGGCGAGACCAAAAGGCAGAGGAGGGAAAGGAGGAGAAGGGGAGGAAGTAGGAGGAGGGGAGGGAGGGAGCAAAGAAGACTTAAGAGTTACGAAGCAGTGAAAAGTAATATTTCAAAGATGACAACTTCCTACGTTCTGGTAGAAAACTACAATTACAAGGATAGCCTGGGACTCAGCAGATTACAGAAAGAGCAGGGAGAGTCACAGTTTCTTACCCAACATCTACCCTTTGCTTGGTGGCTACCTGATCTTTATTCCAGGTCCGCATCTCCCTTCACAGCTCTGGGTCTGGGGGGAATCTGATTCCGCAGATTTCTGAGGCATGGTGCTTGGGTCAGGAGCACCCAGCTCCAACTAGTGACTCCAGAGAGGCCAGGAAATCCAACTGAGACCCGTGGGGCTGCTGGGAAAAGATGCTCTTTCCACAAGAAGCATCCCTGCTCGCTCCTTCTAAACTGAAAGTGGAAACGGGAAGCTCTTAGCCATAAATTACTGGCAGCCATCCTGCAACTACAAAGGGAGTGATCCTCATTCATGGTGGGCAGAGCAAGGAGAAATAAGAACCCAGGGTCCTGGACAAGTCACTGAGTCACTGAGTCAAACCACCTCTGAAGCCCGCCTACCTTTAAGTAAATCCCTATTCCTATTTCAGCCAACGTGAGTGAAGTGTAATACTCCTGCAACCAAAGACATCCAATCCAGAATAGAGGGCAAGAAAGTCCAGCTGGAATGTGGTGAAAGACATCCCCAATTTGGAATCTGTACTTTTTACCCCAGAGTAGGTCTTTGCCACCTCTTATTTCTGTTGTCTGATCTGTGCCATTCTGAGAACACTGAAATATAATCGCATTTAGGAAAGTGCTGCAATTTTGCATGTCACCTTCCCAGTAGGAGTCACCTCCTCCCCAGCTCCTCCCTGTCACAGGGATGTGTCTGCCGAAGCTAGAGAGAGAGAGACCTTTATGAAGGACATCTGGGCTTAGCCACCTGGTGCTGGCTGCATCACCTGGTCTTCAAGAGCAAGGCTTACTTCCTGAGTATCTCCTTTCTAGTAAAATGCATTTACTAATAGCGCTTTACCATTCTTTTTTTTCTATTCCAATACAAAAGAGGACCCAAGCATTTGGAGGAAACTAAGGAATACGATACACTGCTGTGAAATGATAAATGTATATATTGGTCTCGACCCCTGGTTCCTGGCACAGAGCTCCTAAAACCCTTATGAATCGGGGTGCCAACATTTGTTCTAACATTTAGTGTCTGACCTCAGTTCCTGACATAGAGCTCCTAAATCCCTTAGAATTTCCTGGCTGGTAAGAACATCTTGAGTCCTAATGAGGTGACTCTTGGTGGGCTCCTGGATGGGGGCTGGTCACAAGAAAGACCAAACCATGATTAGAAGTTTGGAACTTTCCACCATACCCCTCACCCATCCTCCTGGAAGGGAAGAGGGGCTGGAAATGGAGGTAGGTACAGATGTGGCCTCTATCCAGGCTGAGGATGCTGGGAGGATCCCAAGGCTGCACTCTGTGGTCAGGACGCTGGGAAAGACCACACTGGATGTGCATGCTGCTTCCCTCCATCCATGGCTATCAGCCTCCCTGGCCGCCACCACGTCCCCCCTGCCCCCACCATGCTGGCGCTCTGTCACTCTGAGCTGCCTGTGCCCCACCTCCTATTTTTGTGTGTATGTGAAATCCCAGCTGAAAGGAGTCACTTAGGAAGCCACAAACAGATGGTGGTACAGCTCTCAAGGGTCTACTAGACTTTCCACAACGAAAGGACAGGTGGGGACGGAAACACCAACAGAGAATCTCACTAGATTCTGAAACAGCCAGCAGCCCACAAACACAGACCACAGCCGGGGAGCCACAGTGTGGATGGAGCCCACAGGGAACCTCCCCAGGCCAATGAATGCCGAACCAATGGCCATCGGCCCCTCGGAGCAGAGCCCAGCACACACTGGGTTATGTTCTGGTAAGTGTGGTTAGAGATTAATTCGGTTACATCCACAGCACAGTGTAGCTTTAAAAACTACCGTATAAGGCCAAAATACCCACAGCCAGTTTCAGCTGATTCTACCCAAGAAAAGCTAAGCGAAAGAAATAAGCCCACGAGTTCCTATCTAACGATCTACACAGAATCCTCCTCAGTTTCTCCACTCCTTCCCCAAAACAGTCATTTGGGTTTGGCATTAATATTAGGTGTGAACACAAAGTCTATATTTAAGTTAAGGTTCAGCGTCCTCAAGCACAGGAAGCAGGATATAGAACCTGCTCAAGGAGTCACAGCTAAGGGAAGCTCAACGTCTGCTATTCTTAAAGGAAATGAAAGAATAAGTAAATAATGCTCTCCTCAGAACAGTAGAGCAATGGGTTTCCCTGCAAACATTATTCAGCTTTGATGCCCTGCCAAATTCGGTCAAATGGGCCCTTACTTGTATAGCAATGCAGAGTCCCACCCACACGGAAGGCATCTGCAATACTCTCATTAGGAATGCACTTGGCTCTCCCTCAGATGCTACATTTGACCCATTTTCTCCAACCCTCGAGATCTGGGCTGTCCAATATGGCAACCACATGTGTATTTTCATTTAAATTCACTAAATGAAATACAATTAAAAATTCAGTTCCTCAGTCACATTGGCCACATTTTAGTGCCCAGGGGCCACATGTGGCCCATGGCTCCTGCACAGATGTAGACCCTTTCGTTCCATTGGACAGGACTGCCCTAGAGTCCGCTTACCCCCTGGCCCAGACATTGGGAAGCAAAGCCTCCCTCCCTCTCAAAGGAGCTTGACAGGAGTAAAGAAAACGCCCCGCAACACAAGGTCACTACCATTACCAAGGGTATATGACAGGGAGAACCTAGGTTTGGCTTTCCTGATGCGAACTGTCTTCACCGACTGAGTAATTATAACAATCATTGGGCATGGACACTTTCTACCAACCTATGATGCTTCTCATTACCCCCACCCTGATCTGTCAGTAGCTAGGAGTCCCGAGCTCAGCGTCCATGCCAGGAGGGTGGAGTAAGGGTGTGTTCTGAAGGTCGGCGATGCCAAAACCAAACCATGGGGCACAACGACATAGAGACATGGGTCATGGAGGTACACACAGGAGAGTCCTGGGGAGCAAAGACTGATCTAGTATCAAGTAGAGAATCCTATGTGTATTTGTTATTTAAAATATCTAATGAGGAGGGCAGAAATATTCTACATTCGACTGAAGTACTCTTTAGCACTTTTAAATGTATGGAGCCGCGTCACTGAATAAATAACTTTAGTGATAGATCACATCATTGACAAGGCAGTAACCACAGCTACAGCTCACTCTGATGTCCCAGAGTTTAGTTGCGTTTGAGGATTTCCCCCCATTAAAAACAGATCAGTGGTTATGGTGACACTAAGTGAAACAATCTCTTCAGGGTCCATTGTCCAAGTGAAATAGTGGTTCTGGTGACAGTAAGTGAAACCATCTCTTGAGGGTCCCTGGGCTAAGTCACCAGCTAACATATCCCCCTTTTAGTCAGAGGCCTCCCTGTTGGTACCCACAGAACAAGCCCATTGATCATGACCATGCATCTTCCTGGTCCTACATCTGTTGAGAATCCGCTATATGGAAGGCATTGTGGGTCAGGCATTGTGAGACTCTGCCTGGGAGGGACTGTCAGTCTAAGCTCAAAACAAAATAACATGGCACCAAAAGAGAAAGACACACACCAAGTGCTTGAGTAATTAAGGAGAGGGAAACCTTCCACCGAGGGCTGCCTGGGAGGGTTTCACCAAGGAATGCATAAGCTAACTTTGAAGAGTGGCAGGATTTGGACAGGGTTAGAGGGGAGGGGAGATTACCCACGAAAGGCAAAATGGTACACAGGAGGCAAAAAGACATTGTGAGTTGTAAACATGGCTCGTAGAGAGGTCCTTGGCCTGGAAGTCACCCAGCTCTGTGCTGCCAATTTTAAGGGCAAGCAGACAGGTAACAGAAATGAGCACTAAGGTAGCCTGGGGGTGCTATAAGGAGTAGTGGGGAGCATGGCAAACTGGAGAAAACATGCCCTGAAGAAACACAGCAAAGAGCACTCCATTCCTGCCAATTGTGACCTTCCTTTTAGGAACGTGTCCTTAGTGCCGCCAGATTTTCTAACTTTTCAGGAGAAGCTGAAAATACAGATTTTTAATATAAAAGTATCGCAATATTTTAAAAGTTGGTTAACAATTCCTTAAAATCCTGTAAAGGACAAACAGAATCCATCACCCTGCAGGCTGCAGTTTTTTCCTCATCCTGCAGAGACTAGTCCGTGGAGGGCTCCAGAGCCAGGGTGGGAAATGCCAGAAGGGGGGCCCGGCCGGCTGCAGGGCTGAGAGCAAAAGGGAGGGGGTGAGGAGGTGAGGAGGCTGCGGAGAAACACACACTCAGCCCGGCCTGAGCTAACCGGCCTTGAAGGAGTTGTGGCAAGAACAAAAGGATCTTATCCCACGATTAACAGGGAGAGAAAACAGATGGCATTTGGAGCTGAGCTGGGTGGCAGAGGAGGGAGAAGGAAAAGGTAAGAGATGATCCAGGTTTCGAGCCTGAGAGGTGTTGGAGGAAAATGCAGTAATAAGGAGCACATCTGGGACCTGGAGGGCAGCTCCCAACCAACAAGCAGTTCAGAGATAAGCCATCTGCAATACCCTCTCCCCCCAGCTCCCAGCTCGTGAGCAGATGTGGGAGACGCAGGACCCCCACATCGCCACCATAAAGGGACACACTGCAGGCCCAGCCCCGTGCAGGCAGAAGCTGTAGCCTGGAGGCGGCCACCTCGGCTGGGCGCGCACAATAGGCCCAGGCATGAGGATGCACTCAGGCCACCCACACGGGCTCCCGAAGCA